AGTAGTATATTTTGTCTGCATTCTTTTGGACTCATGGTTTATCACTGTGTTGATCAGAGTTCCAAAATCTTCCAGAATTCTTCCTCTATCATGTTATCATCTGTAAACTGTTCTCCTAGCTCTGTTCACTTCGTTCTCCATCAGTTCATAAAGGTCCTCCTCTGAAACTGTTCATTTCCTTCTTTCTTGGGGCACAATAATACTCCATTACATTCATGATTTGTTTAGCCATTCATTTCCCAATAGGAGGACATCTCCCCTTACTTTCCAATTTGGGGCTAGCATAAAAAAGATTTACTATAAATATTTCTGTACATTTAGATCCTTTCCCTCTTCTATTACTTTGTGAATACAAGCCTAGTAGTGGTATTGGTGGGTCAAGGCAACTTTCTGGGCTTAGTTTCAAAGTGCTCCCCACAATGCCTGGACCAATTCACAGATCCACCACTCCACCAATAGTGTATTAGTCTACACCTCCAGTCTCCTTTTCCCTCTTCTGCCACATCTGCCAGTCTGACAGGCAGAAGGCAGAACCTCAAAGTTACTTCAATCTGCATTTCTCTAATTATTAGTGATTTAGAACATTTTTTCATATGATTGCTGTTAGCTTGGACTTCTTTCTTTGAAAACTGCCTGTTCATATCCTTTGACCATTCATATATTGAGAAATAGCTGTTAAGTCTTACAAGTTTGAATCAGTTCTTTATATATCTTGGATATAGATCCTTTATCAAAGATACTTGTTAAAAAGAATATTTCCCAATTACTTCCTTCCTTTCTAAATTTAACTGCATTAGATTTGTTTGTGCAAAACCTTTTTAAATTTAGATACTCAAAACTGTATATTATATCTTTTTATCATCCTCTTTATCACTCGTTAAGTCATGAACTCTTCATCTAGCCACAGTTCCAAAAGGTAATTTCTTCCTTGATGCTCTAACTTGCTTGTGATAGGACTTATCATATCTAACTCATGTATCCACTTATAGCTTCTCTTGGTAATATGACGTGAGGTGCTGGGCTAACTAAACCTAATTCCTGTCAGGCTGCTATCTTGTTTTCCCAGCAGTTTGACAATCTACTATTGATAGACCTTCTCCTTCCCCACCTTTTTTTCATTATTACCCTTGAGATTCTTGACCTTTTATTCCTCCACATTTCATTGTTTTCACTAGCTCTGCGAAATATGCTTTAGGGAGTCTGATATAGCACTGAATAAATAAACTTAGGTGCTAATATGTATTGGCTCAACTGACCCACCAGCAATTAAAGTTTCAAAAAGAGCTATCTGTTAAAAATTTTCATATCAGAATTATATGTAATTGTAAAAAAGGTACTTTTATGATACTTCGTTTAAATTAAATGTAAATACTGAAATAGTAAACAGCAAAAAGACTAGATGACTTTTGATCTATACTAGACATATCCATTGAACTATCTAAATATGCATCATGCATGAGGATAAGGATTTCTAGCTGATGAGGACTTTATAAAGATGTCACTAGAATTATCATAAATATGATTTGTAATACAGTCAAGATAAAGGCAATTGGTTTTGATTTCCCCCTCTCAAAAAATCATCTGTATTGAAAACAAAATTTTCAGCACCCATTAATACCAAAGCTTTTATTCTAATACGCATTTACAGCAGATACATAACAAATTTTTATGTGGGTATTATACAAAGGATCATTTGCAGAATACTGTTTCTAAAGAGCTATAATTCATATGTGCTGAGTCCACTTATTACCAAGAAAAATATGAAACTCCCACCAATTTCGCTACCATCAAAGATCCACTCATTGAATCAAACAATATCGGTGCTAGAAGGGTTCAAAAGTTCAAGCTCCCACATTTGATAAATGAGACCAGAGCCCAGGGAGGTAGCATAGCAAGTCAGTGAAAATCCAGGACTAGAACCCAGATCAAATGACTCCTTTTCAGTAAAGCTTAGTTCTTATTTCTTCAAATGTGGCTTTGGGTAACACTGTTATATTTTATTTATATCTTTTCATGGGTTACTATATTAAAATAATTTTAAATCAAATGAGTAATGAATTCCAAAGTTGTTGATGAGCTTCATTTGTATATCTCCCAATAGTCCAATATTGTATTTAGCTGTTCACCTTCTTATCATGTGGCATTCAATTTTCTGGGTAAAATTTTCTGGATGCCAATATCCTCAGTCAAGAGAATGACAATAAGATCCTTTATTCCTTCCTCTCACAAAATCTCTTTTTCCAGTCAGACATCTTGCTCATAAAGTCTTTTCTATTACTTTTCAAATGCAAGTCTTCAAAAGTATACTGAATCCTTTCACGTAGTCTTTCCCACTGTCCTCTAGATTACCTGTAATTTTGATTCTTTTAAGATTGTGTTCATGTAAAACGGACTGTTTTCCTGTCCTCCAATTTAGTTAGACCATATCAATTACGTTTTACTCCAGATATCATAACTTAGGAAAGAGACTGACAAATTGGAACACATCCATAGGAAGGATCAAAGATAAAAAATTGAAGAACTACATCATATAATTAATAGTTAAAGGAGTTGGAGATCGCTGTCTTCAGCTATCTAAAATTTCAGAGAGGTAGAAATATTTTGGGCTGCTAGGGAAAAACTAGGTGCATGAGTAGACATAAGGGGATAATTTTCAGTTCACTATTAGAAAGTTCTTCTCTGCTACTTGGAATAAGCTATCTTGTGAAATAGTGAGGCATCTATCACAAAAGTGTTCAAGTGAAGGCAAAATCATCAATTAGTAAATATTCTAGGAATTAGGGAGGAAACGAGACTAAATGACTTCTAAGTTCCTTTTCCAAAATAATTACATATTTCCATATGACCATTATATTTATATTTCATTTTTTGGTCCACATTGTGATTTCATTGATGTAGGAAATGCCTGGTAAAGGATCTCCTATCAATGCAGCAAATACTATTCTTAAGAGTCAATCAGGATGTGTCAGAAAGAGGGCTTGAATCCAGGTCTTTCTGAATCTGAGAAAGCTCTGACACTTCACCACCCTGCTTCTCAAATTTGTAAAATAATAATATGATGAGGGTAAAGGGTAAGGCACTCTAAAAAGGTTAGAACAGATAAAAAGCTGAGCATAAGATGACCAACTTAAACTAGATTTGATACAGATTCCATCTTCTCGACGTATCCACCCCTTGATGATTTGCTATGTTCTATGCCTACCATGGTTTAGAGAATTCTACGTATGTATGTGTGTGTGTGTGTGTGTGTGTGTGTATTACAAATAAAACCAATGTAGCTAACATTAGAACAAAGAAATTGTGAGGAAAATATTTATAGACAGTTTCCTACCTCAAATAGACAGAGAACTTTGTAAAATTTATATGAGTCATTCTTCAATTGACAAATGATCAAAGAATATGAACAGGCAGTTTCTGGATAAAAAATTATTTCTTCAAAGTTATATATATAGTCACATGAAAAAATGCTCTAAATCATTATTGAATTAAAACAACTTTGAAATATCATGTCACACCTATCAGATTGGTTAAAATGATAGAAGGGGAAAACAACAAGTACTGGAGGGGAATGTGGAAAAATTAGGACACTAATACACTACTGGTGGAACCATAAACTGATCTAACCATATTGGAGAGTAATCTGGAATATGCCCAAAGAGTTATAAAACTATATATACCCTTTAACCCAGCAAATACCACTAATAGGTCTGTTTCCTAAGGTGATCAGGGAAAAAGACAAAGGACCCGTATGTATAAAAATATTTATGGCAGCTCTTTTCTGGTGGCAAATTGGAAATTGAGGGGATGACCATCAACTGGGGAAAGGTTGAACGTTCTGTGGTATATGATTGTGATGGAACACTACTCTGCTGTAAGAACTAAGAAGTTCATATTGGAAAAACATGGAAAGACTTGTATGAAATAATAAAGAGTGAAATGAGCAGAACCAAGAGAACATTGTATACAGTAACAGCAATATTGTTCAAAGAATAATTATGAATAACTAAGCTATTCTAAGTATTATGCATAATATGGTTATCTATCTATTTATGACAAATGGTAGCTTTCTCTATTATAGGGAGGTGGGAGGGAGGGGGAAGAGAAGAACAACTTGGAACTTAAAATGTAATAAAAATTAAATCTTTTTTTTAAAAAGAGAGAATTGTATTTTTGAAAAAAATTATTCAAAGAAAAAAGACTTCTTTTTTTAAAACTTGGGAGAAAATAAAGATTTTGAGAATGATATGAAATTCACCTTTAATGTTAGTCTGTGATATGTATGTGCATATGTGTTTAGGTATAGGTAGAGGGGAGAAAAGGGAAGCAGGGTAGAAAGAGACCAGGAAAGCTAAAAAGCTACACCAAGCAGTAAAAATTACTAACAGCTGGAGTGCCAAAAAGGGGGGGGGGGAGAGTAACAAGTAGCTTAGAACACAAATACAATTTTAAAACCACACATAAATCAAATAAGCTACAATTCTTCAGATAGTTCATTGTAATTAAATAGTCTTGCCTTTCTGGTTTGTGAATTCTTAGCAATAGAAAACTCATTTTCTACAACATGCATTTGCCACTGTAATTCTTCCTATTACATTCCAAGGTTTTTCAAATTTTGGCACCTTAAATATCCTCAAAGTCTCAGCTGGATTAATTATTGTATTGCAATGCTCCCTCCCCTCCTTGAGCCTCTCATCCTACCTCAGCAATGTTATTTTTGTGTCAGCTGCTACAGAGCTTTGAAAAAAATGGATGATCATGAAAGCTCATGGTGCAAAAATTTCAAAGGTTTGTGCCTAGAAGATCACTGAAGACCTCTTTTTTGTGATGGCTGGCTGCCTAGCAGTACAGAAATTCTACATACGTATCCATTAATTCATTAGATATGCAGACAGATGATTAAAGAAAAATGCAACAAGAAGAAGCATTTTTGGTTGAAAATGGACTAATATGGCTCACAATTAAATAAAAGTAGAAAATTAAAAGTTGTTTTTAAGACTTACATTTTGCCTCTGATAGATTCTGATTAGGTGACCACACCAGCATGCCAAGATTTTCTCTTTCCTGAGAGCGCCTTGAAATTTTAGCTTGAAAAAAAGCAGGAACAGTAAGTTATATATTTTATTGTTTTAATTGATTCAAAAAGCAAACTAAACATTGTTTTTTTAAAAACCATAATGTGCTCTGACAAGATTACTCACCCTTACCTAAACTTACCTGACATCATGTGACAGAGAACATACATTCATCAGCATGGAAACCAAATGCTTTTTAAAATGCTGAAATACTACTTCTGTATTTTTAAAAATCAATTTCTTGTGTTTACCTTTCCTTAAGAAAACCACAAAAGGTAAGGAAACCACTCACTATTTCAAATCAGAGAACCTTACAGTTTTATAATTACAGAAATCTCCAAGATAAAGGCACCAAAATTAAGATTAGTATCTATGGCCTATTATCTAGCCATACTCTTCATAGGTATATTAAAGAAATAAAAATTTTAAGATAGTGACCAGAACTTTTTGAATGGATAATCAAATTATTGTGCCATTGTTCTCAAATTTTGTACCATTAGCTAAGAAATGGAAGCCCTGAGTAAGATGAGCGGATATAGCCAAGTTTGCACATACAGGTTGACATGTTGCTGACAAGGACAATGGTATATAGCCCAGAGAACCTTGGAGCACTGTTATAATTTTTCTGTTATCTAAAGATACACACACACACACACACACACACACACACACACACACACACACACAAGCATAGGGAAAAAAAAATAACATGTGTTAACCAAGTCTTTATTAATATCACTTTCTGCAGGCTAAGGTGGTTCACTTTAACACGACTAATTGCAATCTTTCTATAATAGTAGCCTTTCAGACACACTAATCTGCATCATCTTTCCTCTCCATAACATAATGTCAAAGAAAAACCTTAGAATTCATCTAATTCAACTTCCATCATCATGTTAATGCTTCAAAACAAGTGCTGAGATAAGAAGTAACTAACTTCAAATAAAAATGGACAAAGCATTTAACTTGCAAAAAAAAAATGAACATTGTGAACTCAGAAAGACTAAATTGTAGGGGTTGAGAAGTGGGACAAGGCAACAGGAGCAGAGCATTTTAAGCAACCAGCGATACACTGGCTACCACAGTCTAATGATTATCCTATGTTTAAATTAATTTTAAAACTCTGTAATTTCCCAAATACTACCTAAGCTATTTATGACGTAGATAGATTTCTATAAAGTTGTATATCATTTACATTTCTAAGAATCAATAAAAAAAAATTTTTAAAGAAAAAGAATCAATCAAGAAGCAGATACGGCAATGTAACACTAGACTTAGAGTTACCATAGGCAATTCTGCTATAACACAACCTATCTGTAAAAATCATTGTGCTATGTGAAATCAAGTAATCAAAACCACAGAGCTTGTGGGGAAAATGAAATGGGTAACACAGCACTCCAACTCACTCCCAGGGGAAAACACTACAGCTGTAAGATCTGTGTCACCAACACTAGTCTCTGCCCTATGAAAAGCATGAATGAGATCAGCCTGAGAGGCATAGGTAGCATCAGCCCAGGACCTGGAGACCTTGGGCAGAGTGTTTTCTGTGAGGTTGGCCTAGGGGACCACTCTTTCCCCCGCATGCCTAAAGTTCTATTGCCCATTTCCACTGAAGCACTACATTGCAACTATCTCCATCTGGGCTTTTCCCTTGGCAGGTGGCTGGGGTCAAAGAGGCTGGATCAGTCTGTTCTGTAGTAAAGGGTATGTTGGGGATCTCCACGTCTTCCCTTCCCTTTTGTGCCTGCCTCTCAAGGCCTCCAGCTCTCATTCTCCCTATTGTTACACTTCCCCAACAGCTCTCACATCCTAGGTAGAGGAGGATAACTACTTACTGCAGCACTTTTCTCCCAGTGGGAGACTGACATCTCCTCTTCCCAAAACCCCTACACATTACCATGTCCCATGCATACCCAACCACTATGGTGTGATGATGAAATCCGAAAAAGTAAGGCAAAATTCACATTATTCTCAGACTATTCCTTAATGTAGCATGCCTTTGGAACAAATTCACATTTTCAAAACAAATGCTGTAGCAGAACTGTCTATACATACTCTACTATATGCTACTAGATTGCTGTGATTCTAAGTAATCCCTTTATCCCACTGAACCTCAGGTTTCTCATTGATAAAACCAAGGAGTTGAACTAAACTATCCATGAGGTTCCTCCCAACTCCCAATATTTTATGATTCTATGCAATTTATTTCTTCAATGACAATTCCAATTCCAATGGTGTTTTGTCATCATTTCACAGTTATCTTCAACTAGCAATGGATCCTGAGCTTTAGTTTTAGTTTTCTCTTCTTTTGTCTTTATAAATGTAAGGATCTATAAAACAACATTTCAATGGACTAAGAAGTTCTTTTTATGATGCAATAAGACACTTAATTTTGTAAAGCAAAAAAGCTGGAATTCATTTGTTTGTATGTTGCGGTTTCCTAAAATACAACTTTCCAATATGGAAACAAAACATTATAACCGCAGAATTTAACAACTTTAGGGATCAAATTCAAAACCACATCAATAATAGTTAATAAAAAATACAAGTGACAACACAAAGTGAATACACTTTATATTCATTATATCATTATCCTTCATTATCTGCGAGGCAGATTGTTCAGGTATTACCCTATTTTATAAATGATGAACTTGAGGCTCTCAGGCACATTAAGAGACATTAAGAGTCACAATAATTAAGTAACAGTAAAGATTATATCCCAGATCCTCTGATTACAAATCCAGCACACTTTACACCAAAACATACTGAGAACTGGAAGTGTTTAACCTGAAGCCGTGACAGTGCAAAGAAAGGTATTCCCCTTCCCAACTCAATTGATATAGTCATAGAAGACACAGAATGAAATCACAACGTATTAATGAGGTGTTAGATTGACAGGAGAGATGCAGCTTTTCCCAGATCCCTCTGCCAGGTGTCAACACTTCACTGAGTCAAGAAGGGAACAGCACAATTGGCTGAGAAAATAAATTAGTTCTGGGGGCTTTAAATCGCTAAATCCTGAGGCGTCTATGGGGGGTGGAGTCCTCTAGGTTCTTGTACCTCTCAGGATAAGGCACATCCTTGATCTCTGATATTCATATTGTTGTGTCTTCAGAGTCTTTGCTGGTGTTTTAGGACCCTTAGCGTGTCAGTTAGTAAGCATTCACTAAGTGTCTACTAAATGCCAATCACTGTGCTTAACCATTGGAATCCACTTTGTTTTGTTTTTTTATATCTGTGTGATTGTAGTTTGTGATGAAGCAAAAAGAATACTTGATTTGTAAACATCCATCCTAAACAGGGGTGATGAGCTAGCTGTGATCTCTAAGGTCCCTTTTATAGCCCCTATAATCCTATAATTATTAATAATATTTTCTTTGTGTTGAGTTGAAATCTGCTTCCCTATAACTTCTACAACTATTTATCCTAATTATGCCCTTTGGGGCCACATAGAACAAACCTGGTCACTCTTCCCCAGTCTTTCTGATAAGAGGGCTGCTATTGTAACACCTTCTGGGATGCTACTCCAGTGTGTACTCATTTATGGGCTACTGTTAACCACAGACTCTAGGGGTCAACCTATGGGTAGTACTTCTGTTACCGTTGCTCATACATCCCTGACAAGTCTTCAGCTTTTGTTGAAACGTTCCTTTCGCAATATAGATCCATACCAAGAAGACTGCAAGGGATTTTCCATAGTACAGATCAAATTAGCTCCAATATCCCAATCATAGAAACAAAGAATGTTAAAGTTGAAAGAGACTTTATAACTTGATGTAGATCATCTAGTCCAACCCCCTCATTTTACATATAAAGAAACTATACACTGGCTTTTGATTCAGAAAGAGCCATTTAAACATGAAACAAATGAGCAGAGAGGAACACAAGAAAGCATCAGATCTGGACTTTAAACCCACCTCTACTATCTTTTGCTTGTGAGACCTTAGTCAAGAAACTTAAATTCTGGGCCTCAGTTTCTTTGGAATAGAGGGTATAATCCAAAGAATGCTGGATTTCTAGGCTATGGCTTAAAATAGAGGAACAATATGGCTTTTGACACGGGATAGTATGTAGCTAACAAGACCTGATAAAAAGTTATATTGATCCGTCTTAGTGGTAACAAAAAAAAATTATAGTCTATCAATCACTTAACCTCTCTTGTCCTCAGTTCCTTCATCCGTATTATTATGAAAATGGATTTCTAAGGTCTCTTTTAGTTCTAAATTTATCCTATGAATGTAATGGAATATTATTGTGTCATAAGAAAAAATGAATGAGGAATTCAAGAGAAATACAGAAAGATTTGTATGAATTAAAACAAAGTTAAATAAACAGAACTGAAACAATCACAATAACAAACAAAAATAATACACTATAACCCACTGATGAGAATTTTGTAATGACTAATCCTGCCCCAGAGAAGACATGAATAAATAGCTCCCTTTTCTCTAGAAGTAGAAGATTATTCGTGGAGAATGTTTTGTGTGTGTGTGTGTGTGTGTGTGTGCGTGTGTGTGTGTGTGTATCAGTGGATACAGTCACAGTGTTAGTTTTGTTTAACTGTTTTTGTTATAAGGATGGCTTGTTGAGGCATGTCATTTCCAGAAATGACTAATGTAAAAAATAAAATACATCAGGGAGAAGATAGAAAAATTTCTATGTACATCTACCAAGCTATGTACTACAGAGAGTAGCAGCTATAAAATGGAAATTGCAACAGATGTATCAAATAATATACAAGAATCAAAAACCAAGAATGAAATGAATTAAAAATCCAGCAATGAAAACCATATCCTCAGATTATATATACAAATGCACAAATATAGTCATTAGGGAAACTTGGATTCTTCTAACACTAGGAGATAAATTTAAACACAGAATGAAACTTGTTGGGTAGACAGAGAGAATGGCAATCTTGACTAGAATATGGCTCCGTAAAACTGTAATATTCCAAAGGACCAAAATAAGGGGAGAAAGGTACGATGCAGAGGGGAATAGTATCAAATATTAAT